TCTCAACCCCATAGGAGGTCCTCAAAAAGAAAAAGAAGCATTGCATTTTATTTTTCAAATGATCAGACACCCAAGAAAAGACCTACCGCATCCAGAGAGGATGTGCAGAACAACTCAGTTATCCTGGATTCATAGAGGAGAAACGACAGGGATGTTCTTCTTTTATTATTACTTATTCATTTATCTTTATTTTGGTCCATTGAATATGTCTAAAAACTTTCCATCACACCTTCCAAATGAAACATCCAGAGAAGTACTGTCTCCTGTCATGGTGAGCTTTTATAATATCTACAGCCTCCTGGAGGGTCTGAATTGTTAACTGTTTTGTCAATTGTAAGAAAACTAATAAAATAATGAATAAAGTGTTTTATTTCTTAGCCTATTACCATTTCATACACAGCGTAGTTTGCATAGGTTTCGATTGCACTGGTTCCTGTATCAGTGCCAGTAATCCAGTAATAGCTTATTAGTTCCCCGTTTTTTTATTTACTTGAACTGCAGAGAATAATTAATGAACAAAGTTGTGAAGTTCTTAGTTTAAAGTATATTTAAGATGCAATTATTTTAGTAGGGCCCACTCTGCTTTATTTCAATTCTCTAAAAATCACTAGAATGTGGAAAATAATGTATATTGTGAGAAAAATGTTGCACTTAACTACAGATCCCTTATCGTTACTCAGTAACATTTACTGTGCTATAAAAATTCCACATTTTGCCACTTTGTTTAAGTTATATCCTCTGGAAACCTCCAACCTACACTGTGTGCAGAATTATTAGGCAAATGAGTATTTCGACCACATCATCCTTTTCATACATGCTGTCCTACTCCAAGCCAACTACCAATTAAGTAAATCAGGTGGTGTGCATCTCAGATGTCTTTCAGAGGGGTGCAGCAGTTTGGAAATTTCCAAGCTTTTGAAGCGGGATCATCGCACAATCAAGCGGTTCATGGCAAATAGCCAACAGGGGTGCAAGAAGCGTGTTGAAAAAAGAAGACGCAAAATAACTCCCCATGAATTGAGAAAGATCAAGCATGAAGCTGCCAGGAAGCCATTAGCCACCAGTTGTGCCATATTTCAGAGCTGCAACATGTCTGGAGTGCCGAGAAGCACAAGGTGATAAATACTCAGGGACCTGGCCAAGGTAAGGAAAGCCGAAAAAAGGCCACCTTTGAACAAGACACACAAAACAAAATGTCAAGATTGGGCCAAGAAATACCCGACGACTGATTTCTCCAAGGTGTTTTGGTTTGATGAAATGAGAGTGAGTCTTGATCAGTAAAGGGCAGCAAGTTCCTTATCGACTCAGATGCCAGCAAGGTGGAGGTGGGGTACTGGTAAGGGCTGGTATAACCAAAGATGAGCATGTAGGACCTTTTCAGGTTGATGATGGAGTAAAGATCAACTCCCAGACCTACTGCCAGTTTCTGGAAGACACCTTCTTCAAACAATGGTACAAGAAGAAGTCGCCATCATTCAAGTAAAACATAATATTAATGCAGGACAATGCTCCGTCAAAATACACCACAGCATGGCTGGCCAGAAAAAGTCTAAAAGGAGAAAAAATAATGACATGCCCCCCTTGTTCACCTGATCTGAAACCCATGGAGAACCTGTGGTCCTTCATGAAATGTGAGATCTACAGGGAGGGAAACAGTCCACCTCTCTGAACAGTGTCTGGGAGGCTGTGGTGGCTGCTGCAAGCAATGTGGAAGCTGACAGAATCTATGGATGGAAGGCTTTAGAGCNAATCTTCCCACTCTGAAGGCTGAATAAAAAAATGATCGTTTACAGACCCCCGAAACGCCGGCTTCGTGTGGATGAGAGGCTGGTTTGGTGAAAAATGTGTGCGTTTAGGCCAGGGTTCGTCTTCGTGTGGACGGGGCCTTAGTCAGCTTATGAAAACCCACATAAGTCCATTAATGAAGGATCAAACTGTCCAAGTGAATAAAGAGATATAACACAAAACTGAGCTGCAAAAAACATGGATGACACTTGTAGCATTTTACAAAAAGTTTTACTATTGTCTGATACATCTGCTTTTTCCCGGGGATGGTTGATCATCCTCGGACTCGCTGTCAGAATCTAAGCCGCTTCCTACCCAGTCCTCCTCATCGGTCTCTCCCCATCCGCCGAATCACTATGTCAGTTGCTAGGCAAGTTGCAATCAACCGCGGGAAGAATTTACAATGCAACTACTAGAGCCGTCAAAATGACGATTATGGGAGATCGAGGTAGAATTAACCATATTTATTTTTTACGTTTTAATTTTATTTAAAAAAACTAAGTGAAAATGAAGGAAATGTAGAAACAGGAAAAGTCAGTTAACATGAGCAACATAAATATATAGTTCTTTCCCTTTAAAATCTCAAATGACGGCTATGGGAGTTCTAGTGGGCCACATAAAATGACATGGCGGGCCACATCTGGCCCACGGGCCTTGAGTTTGACACATGTGCTTTAGAGTGTCACGGTGAAGAAAGGTGGCTTTATTGGTCACTTATTTGTTTTTGAATGTTGCAAATGTTTATATCTGAATTTTGAGTTGTTATATTGGTTTACCTGGTAAAAAATAAACAAGCGAGATGGGTATATATTTGTTTTTTATTATGCTGCCTAATAATTCTGCACAGTAATATTTACCTGCACACACGCACATCCTCATAAAATGGCCAAATCAAAAAAAAAAAAAAAACACATCAACTTAAAAAAATTTATGAAACTTGGATATTAAGGAGTCTTTTGGGTTGATTGAGAAAACACAACTGTGCCCCAATAATAGGAATAATCCTCAAAAATACAACTTGCCTAATAATTCTGCACACAGTGTATAGCTGCACCTGTTCTCATCTATATGAAATAGCAATTATGAGAACTGGACTTTATTTAGGGGTGTCAGAGTAAAGGAAGCTGATTATAAATGCACGCCCCACCTTTTCGTTCAGTAGTTTATAAAAAAAAAAAAAAAGAACATAATCGTTCTTTCCTCCGCCTTCCATCGCTTTATGCCTCACATTTATCATGATAAAATACACTAAATTGTGTGTTTTGAATTAATTGTGGACTTAGTTAAAGAGGAATGGATATTTTAGTAAAGGGGCGTTGAAAGCGGACATGTACAGAGCTGAGTGTTTGTGGAGCTGCAGGCCTGGGACAGCAGCAGCAGGGAGGAAGCTAAAGGCTAGCTCAAGGCTAGCAGCTAACAGGCTCTAATCCCCGGATGAAACTATCATGGCCGCCACTCGCTGAGCTGTCAAGCTCCCCACAAAAGAAAAAAAAAGGTAAAGAAAAAAAAAAAACACCCGAGACAACTCTTTTTATTCTGAATTTAATCCCACCCGACAGCTTTTCACGGACTAATAACTCGACGCCGCGTGAAATCGCGATAGTTTGCGGGAAGTTTATCGTCGCGCTTTGTGCTCCCTAAGTTATTTGGTCTTTGTAAGCTCCTCTTAAGCGTCACGTTAATTCAAACCGCTCCGTTTCTAACAGATAACCACCTCAGATGCGTGTTCGGATATAAACCGAGAGGCTGAGGCGCTCACGTTTCCTCTAACTTTACATCTATGGTTGTAATGCAAGTCTTTATCGCTTTGTTGTGGTTAAGTTTAACTAAACAATAGACTAACACCCCCCCCCCCCCCCTCGTCTGTTTGTGCTCCGTCGTTTTAAGTCTTGTTTTCTTGTATTGCTTTGCTTGTGAGATAAATAACAGTTTTATGGTGCATTTATTTTAATAAAGTGGTTTCTAATCCTGCAGGTGGAGATATAGCTGTTTGTTTTACTGCTATAGTTGCTGAGGAATGTCCTTGTTTGTAGTAATGTGACAGCCTTATGTCCACACAGCAGCATTTTAAACCTGGGCAAAGCAACAAGTGGACTTGTTTAAAAAAATTAAAAAAAATGAAGGAAATGCTGTGTTTTTATATGGCTGTTAATTATGAACCTGCTTTTTAAATGCACCATCCTTCTTAGTGTCATTATAACAAAAGCAAACAGCATTAGATGTGTTTTTACATTTAAGTAATGCTGTGTTTTTAACTTTTCTGCTGCAGAAACAAGAAGAAACATGGATATTTGCACAGCCACCTCCACAGGCCACGCAAAACGGCGTGTCAACAAGAAGAATAGAAGCTGGCAGAGACGGCTCCACCTCAGGAAAACTGTCGTTCAGCCCCCAGCTATGCAAAGCCAAGATAAGAATGGACCAAAGAAGATAGTGAAGAAGTGGGAGAGAACCAGCGTTTGGCCCCCATCAAAGGAGGCCCCCCAGGAAGCCCGGCTGACAAATGACGGGGGAAGTACCCTCAGGTTCCCCTGCTCTCAATGCGAGGACAAATCGGAATATGCACCCAAAGATTTGGTGAGACACTTTGTGGAAAAACACAGAGGGAGTCTTCCAGTTTTCCCCTGTCAGATGTGCACCTTTAGTGCCCATGAATTCTCCTTGCTCCAGGTTCATCTTCTAAGCCACAAGGACACTTTTTCCAGCTGCAGCATGTGCAACGACAACGTTCAGCGCACATGGCCTGAGTATAGTGCACATTTGACCATGTACCACTGCTCCGAAGGCAAGTATTCATGCGAAACTTGCAAAACATTCTCCACATGTGACTTTCGGGGGTTTCTAGAGCACATATATAAACATAATTTCAACGTTGAAGAAGTGGTTGTGGATAGTTCGCTGCAAAGAAACGACAAAAGTCGCCTTCCAGCCTCTCAGACTCAGTGTTGTCAGTTCTGCAGCTTTGAGGCTTCTGAGAAGTGGCTGATTAACAAGCACATTAAGACGTCCCATGTTTGCCAGAATGCCAATCAGACGAAAGACGCGAGGCAAGTTTGTTCCGTGGCGATGAAACCAAATGATCCAATCCCGAGAGTAAAGACGAGGTTGACGAGAAGTGCAGTGAGGAACACGTGCTGGCTGACACAGGACTACATTTCTTTCCCCGGAAAAGAGTTTCTGGATAAATACTGCCACCTGTCTGATCCGCAAACCACATTGGAAGAGACTCAGCAGTTTTTGATGCAATCTGTTGCCGGGGAAACCGACGACCAGAAGTGGACCAAAGCTCTCAAATCCGTTCTGTCGAGCGTTCCTCAGAAAAACTCAGAAAACGGCATCACACCAAACACGTCGGATCTGGCTGTCCTCACAGTCAAAAACAAGATAACAGTGGCCCAGAATGGCGCTGCTTATCCTAAAAGGTTGAAAATGACCTCCACGGATAAGGAAGCCGTCTGTACCGACAGCGCTGATGGCAGCTCTCTGTGTGCAAGTAGCCAGAATGGATTTGATCTCAATGTAAAAAATCAGGCTGAAATAAAACCCTGCAATGACTTCTCATCGTGTGACACTGGAAAACAGGAAAACAGAGAGAACCATGAAGTAAAGACCCATTTAGAAATCCAGGAAAACGGGCAAGAACTGGAAAAACCCGCCGAGATCGAGGGGATCTTCACGTCGAGTGATTTAAAGTTAGCAAACGAGAGTGAAGAGAAGACATCTGTAGGTAGAGCCTCAACGAAAAGGAAGACGCAAAAACGTCGATGCAGAAGAAAGGCTCGATTTAGAAAAGTGCAGAGAAAATCACAAGGGGAGGCCTTAAAGATAGTCATAAAGAAGAATCAGGTGAAGGGGAGGCAGTGGGTGTCTCAAAGCTCTTTGTCTCCCAAGGAAGAAGTGGAGTTGGGTCACAATTTGGAGCTACCTAATCCTCACCTGGTGGAAAAAGTCCAACCGATGCACCATCCTGACCAAAACTGCATCGATGGTTCCCTGGCAGCGTCTCCTCACGTGTCTAAGAAAAGTGAAAACTGTGAATCTTTTCAGCGCAAGGGGGCTGAAGATGTTACTGAAAACAAATGTGACCCGCTTGTATACGTTCCGTCAATACATGAAGAGACTGAGGAAAACGTGGAGAAGTCGGGGGATTTCACCGATCAAAACGGGTCTGGTGAGGAGACGCGCCGCTTAAAACGAGTGGCTCCATCATTGACTGAAGAGGGGACGCCTAAAGATCTACAGCTGCAGAAATCACTTCAGAAGGATGATCCTAAAGTGACGGAGAAGAGGAGTCCTAATGCTGTCCTCCTGCATGGTAAGATGGTCAATTGTTTTTCCTACACAGTAGCCATGATTTGAGAAAATTACAGTTTCAACCTGCCTACAATTTTTTTTCTGTAAGTTTCTTCTGGTTTTTAATCCTTTCATCATAAGGATAGTAAGGCAGTGCTATCCCAGTTAAATTTCTCTGATTTGTATATTTGGGTTTATGAGAAAAACATAAAAATCATATATTAAATGTGTCAGATTGAGAGTTGAGCTATGCAATTTAGAATATCCTAAACAATAAACTGTAAAAACAATAAAATAATGGTGTTTACACGGCCCTCTAAAAGCATTCATACCCACTGTTTTTATATTTGTCATCAGACGAATAAAACCTCCAATATGTTATTGATGTTTTATGATGGCTTAAAAGCGTAACAATCAGTGTAGGTGGTCGGATTTATTTTTTATTTCAAAGTAAAAATCTAAATACTTTTAGGCGAGCTTTAGTTATGTGGGTTAAGACTTTTTCAGGTGAACATTTAGTCGTTGTTGCACCCTGAAGTTTTTCAGGGTTAACCCGGTTAGTTGGCTAGAAGTCTGTAAAGGTTGAATGCTGTCTAGTCTTATGCTACGTTCACACCTAAAGCAGCAAAGGCAGCAGGAGCAGCTAGTTTACATGCAAAGTTATTGGTGGATGTGCATCAGGATACAGCAAAACGTCCTGCAAACGCAGCAGCTAGAGTTGGAATAATTGAACTTTTGCTGCTCAACGCGCCACATCAACCAATCAGAGAAGCTGATCTGGGAGCTTGCAGGGAGACAAACACAGCGCTGCTGATGCAGAGCGCTATGATCACTCCTCTGAAATTTTTAATTAACACCTAAATTAAATCTTCCAGCAAAACATGTTCGCTTTTATGATCCTGGTGCCTGCAGTTTGGATTACGTACATGAAAACAGCCTTC